AGCACAGCTAACCACGTCCAGCCACGTGTAAGGTTAAAAATAGGTTCGCACGTGTTTAAACGCGGGAAAAAGTGGCAAGTTACCACGGCTAACCGAGGCCTCATCGCGTCTGTAGCACTGCTGATCACGTGTTCAGCGCGGACGTAAAACGGGCACTCCACTGCCATAGCACTGCCAAATCACGGGTAACCGCGGCTCGGCGACGTCGGAAGCGCAGCTTGCTGCGCATAAAAGCGGTCGCGCACGGCTGGTCTTCACAGTTGCCGATCCAGATCTTCTACAGTCCACACCTCCACACAAGTTCGTTCGCTGTTTTCTGTTTCAATGATGCCCAGGAAGAATGGTTCCACTGCCAAGAAGAGGCCGACGAAGACCAAGGCCAAGGCCAAGGCCAAGACCAAGGCCCCAGCTGAGGATGAGGCTCCTCAAGAATCACAGGCCCAGGTGACAGTCAAGGTCCAGGTCCATGCTCCTCCTGCTGGTGCTGCCAGTCCAGACCCTGACCCTGAGGCTGATGCTGGTCAAGTTGCTCCTGGAGAAGCTGAGGCTGTTGTGGGTTCATGTTCACCCCTTGACATCTAGACTGCAAGTGCCGAGGTCTCAGAAAATTACAGTATTTTTATAGGCCGCAAATCAGAAGTGATACAGAAGTGATTAGGCAGTGAACAATCGTATTTAGCACTTGTTCGAGACGTCGTTTAACAGGCTTAGGTAGTGCTATGTATGCGGAAAAAATCCACTTATCAGTGATAAGCCGCAAAACACACGCTATTTCTCTTGATACCAACGCGTAACACCCGTCCGATGACCGTGCTCTGCCCGTGACAGACCGCTAAACTTTCGCGTCTTACAGCGTCTTACTGCGTCTCCCCAAGTTTTAATCACTGCCGGAACACGGATTAGCACGTGTGTTTCACGTGTGTTGCACGTCTCTACCACGTGTTCCACCCGTGGTTGTCCGCGGGCTAAAATTTTGAGCAGTTCAAAACTTTTTGCCGCATCCGACGCCGTTCCGATTTCTCCCCGCGTACTGCCACGTCTATAAATCGACTGTAGCTTGTCTTAAACTCGACATCAACGCGAACAACATCGTCTGCTTCACGGGAGACCACTTTTGGACGTGTTTTGGACATGATTAAGCCGTAAAGCCCTGTGTGACCGGGCCTTAAGTAATAATGGAGGACGGGTTACTGTGGGAGCCATCTTTATCAGTGAAAATGCTGAAAATATTGTACCCACAGCTCAATCAATTATTATGACCATACTTTTGGATATTTTCATAGTTTTAATTCATATATTTTTGTTTTGTATTATAAATGTAATAGTAATAGGTATTGATAAGTGCAGTAGTACATCATACTTACAGGCTGCTGCTGGGCTTTATCACCAAAGAAAGCTTTATCTAACACCTGGGTTACATCAAAGAACACTTCCTGGATGTCTCTGTCACCATACAACTGTCAAATGTACAAGTGTGTGACACTATACTCACGTGCTTGATCAGTTAGTATTAACCGTTATAAATTTAAACATACATGATTTATATAAGACATAGTGTAATTACACATCACTCAACTGTAATCAAAAAACGTAAAAAGGACATGGTATTAAATGATAAATTGATTGCATGATATAAAGGATGCTGATGGTAATAATTTAATCGTATGATAAACAGGAGACCGTTATGGATTTCAAATATGGTATGATATTATTTAACAATTAAAACTTTTTTTTCCCAGTAAGTTGACAGATTTTTATCTTGAGGTAGAGAATAGGAAAAAAACACAAAATGTTCCCAATTCACTTACTGCGACAAGTTTGCCATTGTCATCATAGTGTTTTAAAACAGGTAGTGTTTTATTACGGAAGAAATTAATTCTACTGGAGATAGCGCTCAGATTATCATCAATTCTCTCCGTCTCCTTCCCTCGGTCTACAAGTCGCTTCTGCATGTAATATTCTTCACTGTCTATCAACAGCACAAAGTTCAGCCCACCAATCTGTAGAAAAATATCAATAAAATTTAATGTAAGATCTAAACATCAGAGGGATAGAACAACCTCATTAGGGAGACTCACTCATTTTGACCAAAATTTACCAATCTTCCTAAATCTGACACGTCCTCATTCAAGTCCAAACTCATACAAACTTAAAATCTACATCCTGTGGTCTCCTAGTTACTGCAGGGTGTGTGTAATGATCATAACAGGTGTGTCTGAATCAAATGAATGATTTTTGGTGTTATTTTGATACATAAAAAGGGAAAGATAAATTGAGCAAAACAGTTTCAGTGCATTTCGTGCACTTTCTCCCTCATTGAAAATGTGGAATGAGGGAGATCTCCTTCATTGGAGGTTTCAGAGGTTGACACCTATGCCCAAAGCTAAACAATGGTCAAAAAGTCATTAAAATACCATTAAATAACATTAAGTACCATTTTTTCCCTAAAAAAACACAATAAAAATTCACAATATTTCTATGCCCATATTACCACTGAAATATCTTTTTTTTTAAATCAATGGTCTCTCTCGACTGGACCATTGAAACATCATTTAAATATAAAAAAAAAAATACCATTATTTTGTCTTTGAATCAGAGATTTTTAGAAAATGAAAAATAGCTACCCAGAGGTGACTTTTATCCTCGTTTGAGATTGGTCGATATTTAAGTTCAAATTGATGAGCATTGTGTACCATTTAAATACCACTGAAACACTAATGATTTGATATACCGTTGAAATGCATTTTAAACCATTGATAATATGCCATTAAAATACTTTAATAGCAAATTAATGTCAAATTTCGGCCCAATTTCAATGGTGTTTCAATGGTTCTCCATAATAAGCATTGGTCACCATCTATAAATGGTACTTCATCAGAATTTCAATGGTTTAAAAAAAATGTATTTCATCAGTATTTTTTATGCCATTGCTTTTCAATAAGGGAATGGCACAGGAATAGACAGGTTCCTGAAAATTAACGTTCAGTATGGATAGACTGAAATGTGGAATATATCTGAATTGCTGTACACAGATTTCCACAGGTTTTTCCAAGTTATTTGGAATTCCTTTCAGAAAATGAAGTTATACTGTACATGTTCAACCGTATAACAGACACTCCTCACATTCCATTACTCGGTCATACTCTCAGTATCTGAACTTGTGTATAAAGGTCACATTTCAGTAAACTGAACATGAAGTTGCTGTTTGGTGTTTGTTAATGGTATATCAACCTGTTCTGTTGAAATTAAATTATACAAATCTTTGAGGTCACACTTCCAGAAAGCAGAGCACAAAGACTTACATATTTGTTGAACTCCTCCACCTGTGTCTTGTCCCTAGGGTAGCCCTCCAGGATAATGGCTGATGCGTCCTTGTGTTTTGCTAAGTTATCTTTAAGTAAGTCTACTGTCACCTCCTGCAAACAAAAGATGCATGTTTCATCATTTTCATTACAAATATAGAACTGGAAAAGGGTTTTAATACTAATTACTCATTAGATTAATTATCTACAGAGACTAAAACTGCCCATTGATCAACACACACAAATCTTTTGACCCCAATATCTAACTTTCAAAAGCATATACTATACAATTCTATATATACAGTTGAAACTTTCTAAATACACCTGGTGTACGCTTACTGACAAGAGTTGCTTCCCTTACCTCGGGTGCCATCTCTCCTTGCTGTACTAGGGAGCTGATCATTCCCCACTTCTGGTCCGCTGTGCCCTTTTGACTGATCTCAGTCCTAAGGATGTCTCCCATTGATACATGGACTGTCCCTGGGTAGCGCTCAATGATCATCTTGGCTTGGGTACCTTTCCCACTGCCTGGTCCACCTGTGACACATAATGTCAGTGTGTTAAAAACTCCTTAACTTTTAACACATTTAACTCTACAGGTCATAGATCTCTATAACTTTACTTGTAAGTATTTGATAGCATACAAGAGATCATATTGCATTTTGTTCAGGACAGTTCAGTAATTTAAAAGATACTATCTATAACCTCCCCTGGTAGTTATAGGACGTATCATTTTCTTCATCCTTCAATTCAAATCTGTTATAAAGCCAATGGGAGGTAACTTACATTTATATCACTCCCATTCTGTGTTCGTAATTCTGTAATTCAGTTTACACTGGTAACAGCCCACATTTGTGTATTATATCTGTATCCGTATAATTGTCTATCAATACAGGTTGTTGGTGGTCAATATGTGGTCATAAGAATTGGTCAGAACGAGAATCGATCATCAACAAACAAAAAAGTAATAAAGGAGTAACGCTTAACGACTTATTACAATGCATACTAATTTAATCCATTCTGTATAAACTGCATTCTTAATTAAATTAGTAGATAGAGTCACATGATGCAGAAGGTACCCCAACTACATGGCAGGAATGTCTGCCAAACAGCTCAGCCAAAACATTTTATGTTACATAAGATCAGGTCAAACCTTTTCTAGATAGTCAGTATATGTGACAATATAATCTCCAGACTGTATATATGTCAAAACCCTTCACACTATTCTGTAGGTCAGTGTTAACTTATAACTCTTTTGACAGAAACCCTGGAACCCTTTAAAAGAGCAGACAAAACAGAAAATAGAATCTGTTCACACAAGTTGCTTACCTGCCAGGACTATGATGGGACAGGTTGGTAGTTCTGGTTTCCGACCTTCATCTTTATTCACTATTTCTGGGGCATCCTTGGCCAGTGCCATACTGTCTTCGAGCTGTGATTTAGTTCGCGCTATAGCTTCAGCTGGACGTTCATAAGTGGCCGCTACTGGAACTGACCCTTCTTCTGGGGGGTTTGGTACAGTACACCTTGGTGGTACTGTAGAGAAAATAATATAGAACTATAAGTTTGTGAAATATCTTTTATTATAAGGTCATGAATGGATTGATAAAATGATGATTTTGTGACTATGATGATATCAGAAACAGCAGAATGAGTATAATGACAGGAAAAAGAGGGACAAAAACGGAAGGGAAAACTAGATTTTTTTTTTATATATCTCATATATTTAGTGTGATATGCATAGTAATATTTTATTTACTCTGCATCAAATAATGTAATATTGAACTACTGTTTGATAAACAATTTAATATTTAGTTATTGTATAACTTATAACTTAATATTTTATTTAGTTACAAATTGTAATAGTTTCTACATAACAGAATGTAATGTTTAGATAGTTAATTTTTAACATAGAATATGATACAGTTGTGGGATCGCACAACGTTACACGATGTGCGGTGTGCGGTGTGCGCACGATGTGTGCACGGTGTGTGAACGGTGTGTGCACGATGGGCGAACGATAAAAAGATGGACGATCATTGCTTGCGCACATCTGTGCGCACGATGGACGGACGTTGTGCGATAACAATCTATAAACTTATCTTTCTGTCTATACATTCTTATATTTAGAAATTGTGTTTTCTGTGTTTTTAAACAAACTTAATCGACACATGTAAAATTACAACACAATCCCGTATACAGGTAAACATAACCACTTTGTACATGTACCTGGACCGTAGTTTTCCCCCCGCCTGGGGCACTTACTTAACTCGTTGGGTAAGGCCGAGGGTGTGAAAATCCAGGTGAAGGGGAGCTATAGGCAGACGAATGCAAATAACAAATACTGTTCATTACGGTCAAACGGTATCGCATATCAGCTCTGTGTGTCAGGCACTGGTCAGGTAAAACTCCGGACACTCATCAATTTGTTATTTACCTGTTCTGTTACCTTGGAGCCAAACCCATTCTTGACAGCCTAACGGTCGCTGTAATACTGTGTAACACGCATTGTGAAATTGTATAATCTTGATTATTGTGATGAGAAATTACAGATATATACACAGTGTACATTATCGCATACAAGCCTTCCGTATTTTTGTCATTCCGTAATTTTGATCTACAAATGATACCAAATCGCACAGTTGTGCGGAGAGAAGCGCACAACGGGGCGAACAATTGCTAAATCGCACAGTTGTGCGCACCATGTGTGGACGATGTGCGGACGGTGTGTGAACGATGTATGCACGGTGTGCGCACGCTATTTTTGGTGCGTTGTGCGGTCCCACAACTGTACATTGTAATATATCATGTATTGTATTACACATCGTCTAATATTTATTCTTTTAATATACCATATCATGTTATATTCAGTTTTATTTTACTAATGTATTTTGGTTATTGTATTACACACAATAATATTTAGGTACGGTATAACATATATGATGTTATAATTAGTCACTGAATAAACATAAGTTATATTTAGGTACGGTATAACATATATGATGTTATAATTAGTCACTGAATAAACATAAGTTATATTTAGGTACGGTATAACATATATGATGTTATAATTAGTCACTGAATAAATATTAGTTATATTTAGGTACAGTATAACATATATGATGTTATAATTAGTCACTGAATAAATATAAGTTATATTTAGGTACAGTGTAACATATGTGATGTTGTCATTAGTCACTGAATAAATATAAGTTATATGTACCACTGGGTATAACATATATTATTTCATAATTAGTCACTAAATAAATATAAGTTATATTTAGGTACAGTATAACATATATTATTTTATAATTAGTCACTGAATAAATATAAGCTATATTTAGGTACAGTATAACATATGTGATGTTATCATTAGTCACTGAATAAATATAAGTTATATTTAGGTACGGTATAACATATATGATGTTATAATTAGTCACTAAATAAATATAAGTTATATTTAGGTGCGGTATAACATATATGATGTAGTATAACATATGTGATGTTATCATTAGTCACTGAATAAATATAAGTTATATTTAGGTACAGTGTAACATATGTGATGTTGTCATTAGTCACTGAATAAATATAAGTTATATGTACCACTGGGTATAACTTATATTATTTCATAATTAGTCACTAAATAAATATAAGTTATATTTAGGTGCGGTATAACATATATGATGTAGTATAACATATGTGATGTTATCATTAGTCACTGAATAAATATAAGTTATATTTAGGTACAGTGTAACATATGTGATGTTGTCATTAGTCACTGAATAAATATAAGTTATATGTACCACTGGGTATAATATATATTATTTCATAATTAGTCACTAAATAAATATAAGTTATATTTAGGTGCGGTATAACATATATGATGTTATAATTAGTCACTGAATAAATATAAGTTATATTTAGGTACAGTATAACATATATTATTTCATAATTAGTCACTGAATTAATATAAGTTATATTTAGGTACAGTATAACATATATTATTTCATAATTAGTCACTGAATTAATATAAGTTATATTTAGGTACAGTATAACATATATTATTTCATAATTAGTCACTGAATTAATATAAGTTATATTTAGGTACAGTATAACATATGTGATGTTATCATTACTCACTGAATAAATATAAGTTATATTTAGGTACGGTATAACATATATTATTTTATAATTAGTCACTGAATAAATATAAGCTATATTTAGGTACAGTATAACATATGTGATGTTGTCATTAGTCACTAAATAAATATAAGTTATATTTAGGTACAGTATAACATATGTGATGTTGTCATTAGTCACTAAATAAATATAAGTTATATTTAGGTACAGTATAACATATATTATTTCATAATTAGTCACTGAATTAATATAAGTTATATTTAGGTACAGTATAACATATGTGATGTTGTCATTAGTCACTGAACAAATATAAGTTATATTTAGGTACGGTATAACATATATTATTTTATAATTAGTCACTGAATAAATATAAGCTATATTTAGGTACAGTATAACATATGTGATGTTATCATTAGTCACTGAATAAATATAAGTTATATTTAGGTACAGTATAACTTATATTATTTCATAATTAGTCACTGAATAAATATAAGTTATATTTAGGTACAGTGTAACATATGTGATGTTGTCATTAGTCACTGAATAAATATAAGTTATATGTACCACTGGGTATAACATATATTATTTCATAATTAGTCACTAAATAAATATAAGTTATATTTAGGTACAGTATAACATATGTGATGTTGTCATTAGTCACTAAATAAATATAAGTTATATTTAGGTGCGGTATAACATATATGATGTTATAATTAGTCACTGAACAACTGTAATTATATTTAGGTACAGTATAACATATATGATGTTATGATTAGTCACTGAACAAATGAAATTATATTTTGGTACAGTATAACATATATGATGTTATGATTAGTCACTGAACAAATGTAATTATATTTTGGTACAGTATAACATATATGATGTTATGATTAGTCACTGAATAGATATAAGTTATGTTTAGGTACGGTATAACATATATGATGTTATGATTAGTCACTGAATAGATATAAGTTATGTTTAGGTACGGTATAACATATATGATGTTATAATTAGTCACTGAATAGATATAAGTTATGTTTAGGTACGGTATAACATATATGATGTTATAATTAGTCACTGAATAAATATAAGTTATGTTTAGGTACGGTATAACATATATGATGTTATAATTAGTCACTGAACAAATGTAATTATATTTAGGTACTGTACCATTGGGTATACAATGATTACATTGGTTTAAATGTACATTTCTTAAAAATGTTAATGAAAACTGTATCCTGCTTAACAAGAAGTATGGACACTACAAATGAGGACGGTAAATGTGGTATGGAATGAAAGTGGGATTATTTCCTGAAGAACATGCACTACACAAGGTTTTATGATAAGGGGTAAAAACTGTGTACGATAAATCCTTACACCTATTCAAGTTAAATCCATCAAACTCACAAATAAGTAAAACTCCACAATTTTCTACACACCTCAATTTTGTGTCCATTTAAAACTGGAAATCTTCAACAGCCTTCAGATAGCTTCTGTCCAATTTGATTGCTCCTTTTAAATCTAAAGCTTCTAGCGAGTAGGCAGGGAGACTTACGTATAGATCGACTGACGTCACAGAGGAAACATAATATAAGCAACACCATAAAATGTGAAAATGTGAATCATTTTGTTTTTGGGTTTTTTCACAGAAGCTTTAAACCTGGATATGAACACCTGTTTCAAAAGGACTTTGTGAGAGATATATGTTAGTAATTGGTGTTTGATGAATGGATAACAATTGTTTAGTAATGACAGAGTAATGGGTTCATCTTCATTCTTATAAATAAAGATGCTTCAAAAAAGCCCCAATTTCAAAAGTCTCTAAAACTAAAATATTTCAACAACAGCAATAGGACAACATTTTCATCATCCAAATTTTAAAAAAAGATGCACCAAAAAATGCTGAAAGCTATATAAAAAAGAAAGCAGTTCGAGGACAAAAGAAGGAGCTCTGATCTTTCCACGATATGATATACACGTGCCTTACAAGACTAGTTTACAAACATCTGTGTGAGTAATAGTCAAGATATCTGGGGTCAAGTGTTCTGGTCTGAGATTCACCGGGTCAGCTTCAGTCACTGAATAAGGTTTAGTTTCACACTCATCAAACTTTGCTCTCAATCCAAACTTTCTTCTACATGCCACCCCAAGTGTTGCACTTAATAAAGTTTGAGAGTGTAATTCTGACTGAGAACTACAACTGTAAATGAGATCACTTGAGATGTATCTCTCAGTCAGAACTTTCTTATACAGCCTATATGAGCTCTAGCTCTCAATCAAAAATATATCCTTTACAAGCTAACGGACAGGAAGCGCTCAGTCAAAACTTTCTGACAGAGCCTTTCTGAGCACTAGCTCTCATTCAGGACTTTCCAATGAAGCATATCTGAGGTCTAGCTATCAGTGCAACCTTTCTGATACAGCCTGAGGTCAAGCTCTCACTCAAACCTTTCTGATACAGCCTGATGTCTAGCTCTCAGTCAAACCTTTCTGATACAGCTTGAGGTCTAGCTCTCAGTCAAAACTTTCTGATACAGCCTGAGGTCTAGCTCTCAGTCAAACCTTTATTATACAGCCTATCTTAGGTCTAGCTTTCAGTCAAACCTTTCTGATACAGCCTGAGGTCTAGCTCTCAGTCAAACCTTTCTGATACAGCCTGAGGTCTAGCTCTCAGTGTTACCATTATTATACAGCCTATCTTAGATCTAGCTCTCAGGCAAACCTTTCTGATACAGTCTGAGGTCTAGCTCTCAGTCAAGTTTTCTGATACAGCCTGAGGTCTAGCTCGCAGTCAAAACTTTCTGATACAGCCTGAGGTCTAGCTCGCAGTCAAACCTTTATTATACAGCCTATCTGAGATCTAGCTCTCAGGCAAACCTTTCTGATACAGCCTGAGGTCTAGCTCACAGTCAAACCTTTCTGATACAGCCAGAGGTCTAGCTCTCAGTGCACTTTTCTTGTATCTACCTATTTGAGATGTAGCTAGCTCTCAGTCAAATATTTCAATCACAGACTATTAGAGTTGAAGCTTAAGACCCGACAGATGGAGGTTTAGATATTGTGTGCAGATTTAGTTCACACCAACAACACATATATATATAGTGCAGACCTTCTGTCTCAGATCAAATTTGACAATATGTGTACAGGACTTACCCAACTTTTTGCCTTTTTTGTCTCCAAAAATAGATTTTTGGAAGCATTGTCCAAGCTCAAAGGCAATCTCCTTTATGTCCCTGTCTGCGTTTATCTGTTAGATAAGAAACTTGGTTAGCAATGGAATCTGTTTCTACTTAGTTAAGAGGATTCCAGACAAATTAGGACCAATATGAACAGTAAAATGTCTTATTTAGATTGCCTGACACAATCAACTGGTTTTCTGGTGAGTACCCTAACATCATATTGAGAAATGTTCGATGAAGAAATACTTGCTTTTTTTAAGTTGAGTATTCCAGTGCAAAAAATTGTCCACACACATATATATGTATTTATAAATTATATGAATAATTGCTCATTGCCAAATGAGAAAATGTTCATGTTGTGATCAATTGAAAAGAGCCAAAGCCCAAATATTTACACACATTTTTTAACAGTATAACAAATATTTGTGACAGATTAAAACTGCCTTCTGTTAATCTTCAAATTGTAGAAGCTGGTGATCAGTACCCTGAAGAAGTACTGAGAACATAAAAAGGACCACAATGATTGATCACAGCCTGGCAACACTAATAGATAAACAGACAAGTACTGAGAACATAAATAGGACCACAACGATTGATCACAGCCTGGCAACACTAATAGACCAATAGACAAGTACTGAGAAAATAAATAGGACCACAATGATTGATCACAGCCTGGGAACACTAATAGATACACAAACAAGTACTGAGAACATAAATAGGACCACAATGATTGGTCACAGCCTGGGAACACTAATAGACAAACAGACAAGTACTGAGAACATAAAAAGGACCACAATGATTGATCACAGCCTGGCATCACTAATAGACAAATAGACAAGTACTGAGAACATAAATAGAACCACAATGATTGATCACAGCCTGGGAACACTAATAGATAAACAGACAAGTACTGAGAACATAAATAGGACCACAACGATTGATCACAGCCTGGCAACACTAATAGACCAATAGACAAGTACTGAGAACATAAATAGGACCACAATAATTGATCAAAGCCTGGCAACACTAATAGACAAACAGACAAGTACTGAAAACATAAATAGGACCACAACGATTGATCACAGCCTGGCAACACTAATAGACCAATAGACAAGTACTGAGAACATAAAAAGGACCACAATGATTGATCACAGCCTGGCATCACTAATAGACAAATAGACAAGTACTGAGAACATAAATAGAACCACAATGATTGATCACAGCCTGGGAACACTAATAGACAAATAGACAAGTACTGAGAACATAAATAGGACCACAACGATTGATCACAGCCTGGCAACACTAATAGACCAATAGACAAGTACTGAGAACATAAAAAGGACCACAATGATTGATCACAGCCTGGCAACACTAATAGATAAACAGACAAGTACTGAAAACATAAATAGGACCACAACGATTGATCACAGCCTGGCAACACTAATAGACCAATAGACAAGTACTGAGAAAATAAATAGGACCACAATGATTGATCACAGCCTGGGAACACTAATAGATACACAAACAAGTACTGAGAACATAAATAGGACCACAATGATTGATCACAGCCTGGGAACACTAATAGACAAACAGACAAGTACTGAGAACATAAAAAGGACCACAATGATTGATCACAGACTGGCAACACTAATAGACAAATAGACAAGTACTGAGAACATAAATAGGATCACAATGATTGATCACAGCCTGGCAACACTAATAGATAAACAGACAAGTACTGAGAACATAAACAGGACTACAATGATTGATCACAGCCTGGCAACACTAATAGACAAATAGACAATATAAAACCTGTGTTAATAATACTTTTATCATGTTAGGATTTTTTTTAATTACCACAAAGAGTTTGCCCCTGTCATCAAGGACTTTGGCAGCAGGTAGTGTGTTATTTTTGAAGGCTGTGAGGCGGCGCTGTACAGCGTTAATGTTGTCATGGACTCTGCCCTCCTGTTTGCCCCTCTGTAACAACCTCTGTGTGCAGCAGTGCTCGTCACAGTCTAGCATAAAGGCCATGTCCAACCGACCAACCTGCACATTCAACATACCTTATAGAAAAAATCTTATTTAAACAATATTTTCCAAAACTACGATAAAATAATGGAAATAACATTATAATTCAACAATAAATATAATAATTATATAATTTATAGACAGTTAATATGATCCCATAATTGAGAAGTACAAATGACATTGTAAAATAAAAATGTAACAGTTAAATATAATAAGATACAATTGATTAGTATAAACGACCTTGACAATCACTGACATCCTTATCTATTCCTAACACTGATGTAGAGTCAAACAGATAAATATCCTTGGTACTTTGATTGGTTGTGTTCTTACTTTGCTGTTCACTTAGCCAAAACATTAAGACAGATAAAAATTTAGTGTGCTTAAAGATTGAAAAAATAGATCAAGGAAAATTACAATTTTGTCAAACTCCTTCATCTGGGTGACTGTACGGGGGTAGCCCTCCAGAATGAAACCCTCAGCTTTGGGGTGGCTCTTCAGACTTTTGAGGATGAGGTCTGCTGTGATGTCCTGTAAGATGAAGTTCATGCTGGCAATTTGACAATAGCAAACTTACCCAGATGTTTATGTAACTTTTAATGCATATTAATGTTTGGATAAATCTAAAAGGTTACATCAATCTCAACAAACTAGGGACTGGTTTTCTTGGGTTTATTAGTGTGGTCCACCAGTTTCGCCTGAACATTGTTTTTTATGTTTAATATTTGGATGATATTTCTTAAGTTATATTTATTCTTCAGGTCACCATCATTATATTTATAGATCATTGACAGTAACTTATATCAACATAGAGATCCACTCTGACAGTATACACCTGTAACATGGCTAGGAAAGCAATAACATATGTTTGTCAGCTCTATGAAACATTAGATAATATCCGATAGGAATATTCTCTTCAAAAACTGACAGCTTCAAACAAATCAATTTATTTTCCCCTTCCCTACCTAATAATAAGATGTCTTTATATCTTATTAACCTCAATCACTATATTCTTAGATATTTTCTAATCAATAAACCTATTGTCTCCCTTCTTAATTGCATCAATGAATGTATGTGAATCGCTGGCCTCAAGCTCTTAACCATGAATACCTCTGGAGCCATCTCTCCTCTGTTGACAAGATCACCGATCATCTCCCACTTGTCCTCGGCTGACCCCTTGTCTGCGATCTCTGACCTCAGCAGGTCTCCCATGGACAGATGCACCCATCCTGGGTATGTCTTCTGTAACAGTTTCACTTGTGTCAGCTTCCCACTGCCTGGACCACCTGACCAAATCACAGAAAATTGTTTAAAATGGATAGAATGTCAAGTACAAATAATTAAATCAAAACCTCTTACCTAAATGATGTAAATTTAAACTAAATCTGTAGATGGGTTTAAGAGACTTGAAGCCAAAGGCTTATGAATACCTCCGCTCCTATATAAACCAGAACTGTAAGCCAAAGGCTAAGTAAGGTAAAGTATTGCAAAGCAATCCATAGTCTCCCACCAGTAATGATTTCTTTATTCTATAGGTAAGTGACATACTTTCTGTACTCCCTCCCAATGGCAAAACATACTTGCGAACCAAATATTGTTAACCCAGATGAGCCAGTTTTGCTGAAATAGTTCTAGAAGTTAAGGAAGAGTTGTCAGGACAAAGATTTTTAACAAAGGGTCATTACTCCTGAAAAAAGGGTTGAAATGAGTAAAATATTACCCTGATGCACGACATCAGGGGGTAATTACCATATCTCTAAACTTTCATTGCAATCGGATCAGTAGTTTAGGAGACAGACAAAAGCCCATAGTTTTTTTTCAACAAAGGCCCATAACTCCTTTTAAAAGGACCGGAATGAAAAAGTACTACTTGGATGCACAACATCAGGGGGCAGTTACCATATCTGTAAACTTTTAAATTGGCCAATAGATTAGGAGAATTTGTCAGGACAAGGATTTTTCAACAAAACGCCCTCCATAAAAAAGGTTTGGAAAAAAATACCTGGATGCACAACATCAGGGGGTATATATATAGTTACCATATCTGAAAACTTCCATTGAAATTGGCCCAGTAGTTTTGGAGAAGTTGTCCGGGCAAGAGTTTTTCAACAAAGGGCCATAATTTTGTAAAAAAGGCTCAAAATAAAAAAAAAAATGCCTGGATGAACAACTTCAGGTGGAAGTTACCATAGCTGAAAACCTTAGTTAAAATTGGCCTTGTAGTTTTGGAGGAGTTGTCTGGACAAGGATTTTTCAACAAAGGTCCATAACTTTGTAAAAACAAGGTCAGAAGGAAAAAAGAACACCATCTATGAACCAGAACATCAGTATCCTGACTCGGTGAACATTATACCTACCCACAATGAGTATGACTGGTACATCAGGCACGCCGTCCTCACTCTTGGTGATCGGAGGTAAGGGTGACGCCTTCTTGTCATCAAGATTCTTCTTGTCCTCCTCTGTCAAGGGAACACAAGTTATAAATTCATTTTGCATTATGTTTGTTTCTTGTCATTTGAACATGGTCAAACTTTATTAATTAGTCAAAGATGCCTTACTGGGTACACCATTAAAGAATTAGATCTACCGTAAAAACCTTATCACATCAAAATCAATGCAGCATTTTTACATTCATCATTTTCATTCAGTTTTAAAGACCATTAGAATTGTGTTTAAATAATTAATGATACCCAAAACACTACCAAAAACCAAAACTATGCATTAGAGTTCATTTTTCCTGCATGGTGATTATAGCAGTGATAAATCATTTCTGAAGAGAAAACCATACTTTGCAGAATTTTATGAAAACAATAATAAAGATAAAATGATCAAAATATAATTGATCTACAACAGTGTTTGATCATTAAACTGTTGCTCTAACTAAAGTTTTGTAATCTTCCTTGTCAGCAGTAAGAACATTGGCTCTTAGTCACATTCACTGACCCTGAGTCACATACACTGGCGCCGAGTCATTAACACTGGCCTGAGTCACTCTACACTGGCCCAGAGTTGCTCTACACTGGCCCTGAGTCACTCTACACTGGGCCCAAGTCACTCTACACTGGCCCCGAGTCACCTTCATTGGCCCCGAGTTACCTTCACTGACCCGTAGTCACTCAACACTGGCGCCGAGTCACACCACACAGTGGCCCCGAGTCCCTTTTACTGGCCCTGAGTCACCTTCACTGGCCCTGAGTCACTCTACACTGGCCCTTAGTCATTCTACACTGGCACTGAATCACTCTACACTGGCCCTGAGTCATTCTACACTGGCACTGAGTCACTCTACACTGGCCCTGAGTCATTCTACACTGGCACCAAGGCACTCTACACTGGCCCCGAGTCACATACACTGGCCCCGAGTCACATACACTGGCCCCGAGTCACTTACACTGGTCATCCTGTGTCACTCCACATAGTGGCCCCTAGTCACTTTACACTGGCCCTGGGTCACTCTACACTGGCCCAGAGTCACCTTCATTGGCCCCTAGTTACATTCACTGACCCGGAGTCCCTCTCCACTGGCCCCGAGTCACTCTACACTGGCCCTGAGTCACTTACACTGGCCCTGTCACTAATATGCTGGCCCTTAGCCACTTACACTGGCCCTGAGTCACTTGCACTGGCCCTGAGCCACTTACACTGGCCTTGAGGCACTTACACTGGCCCTGGGTCACTAACATGCTGGCCCTGGGTCACTAACATGCTGGCCCTGAGTCACATACGCTTGCCCTGCAATTCTATAACGCTCTATCCAAAATTAAATTTAATTGCAGGTTATTGTGTGTTAGAAAAACTTCAATGGATGTTTTTAGTGTTTTATCTGCAGTGGGACTGGGATACTTAGTTCATTATTTTGCATTTGCATTATTAGAACTCAAAATGTGATTTCTTTCTTAAATAACCTGCTATACTTCAGTAACAATATGACTTATCCAGTGGTATTGAAGACTTATAATCCTGGTGATATTCACGTTAAGTTGCTTTATGTATTTGTTTGTTTAGAGGTAGTGCTACACTAGCTTTTTAATAGATATCAGCCATCTAATTTATTACAGTTGTGTCAATGTTAACAACTTTTTGACCCAAATACATATTTTCCAATGGAGTAAATAATTATTACAAGTCAATTTGTGAAATTATACAGATATATGTTTAACACTGACTTGTGGAAGACATAAACCACAGCTTAATGAGTCCTGCACTCAGCCGTAAAAAACATGGGATCTCAGTAAAAACATCAATAAATCAATACACACCACTGATTAAAGTAACCCCTGTTGGTCGTACCTCAAATTACCTCAGAGCTGGGTAATCTACCACACCAGCAGTCCTACCTTATATAACTGATCTGCTCAGCCAAACACCCCTAGTACACCAGACTAACTAGGTCAGTAAGGGCCCCGTCTTGTGGCAATATATCCCCCATAACCATCAAGAAGCAATCTGCCCATATACATGTAGTTGAGCTTGACGTTTGACATTTGAACTTCAAAAAGAATCACAAGGAAGCAAAATATACATTTTACATGTACTATGATGTGAGTCTTGTTTCCTTCCACCTCCAACTTGACTGGGCTAACAGAAATGTAAATACCGGTGCAATACTCATTTGTTAGCTTTGATTTGTTTTATTTCACCTTATTTACCTCCTCCATCAAGAGCCAGGGTCAAAGTCAGAGATCCACATTGTCTTTGACCTTTGGACCCAAAAGACCCTGACCATTAATCCAGTGACCCTGATCTTTGGTCAGTTGTCTTATTCTTTAATTCCGACCAACTTTGCTTCTTAATATCATAACAAAATGTTCATCAGTAAAAAAGGCAAAACTTGACCTTGACCCTTTGGACACCGTAGCCTGGACCTAAGGTCAGTTGACTCTGTGTTAAGTTCTGAACAACATTGCTTCACAATGTCATAACAAAATTTTCATCAGGGAAAAAGTACAAATTTAACCTTCACCTTTAACCCAGTGACCTTGACTCCTTGTTTAATTCTGAGCAACATTGCTTCAAAGTGTCATAGCGAAATGTTCACCAGTGAAAAGCTACAAAATTTGACCTTGAACCCTGACCCGATGACCTTGACCTTTGGTCAGTTGACTCATTGTTTAATTCTGATCAACTTTGCTTCATAATATCATAACAAAATGTTCATCAGTGAAAGGATGTAAAACTTGACCTTGACCTTTGAACCTTATGACCCTTACCTTTGACCTTGACTTTTTACCTTAATGTGTATTTTTGTGAACTGAACATCGTGACCAAGTTTCATGTACATCGGTCAATTAATACCAAAGTTATCAGCCAGGAACAAAATTTGTGGACAGACAGACAGACAGACTACTATAGGGCACCCATATCTCCGATACGGGGCCCTAATTAGGTACTGCTGTATCTCTCTACTGAACTTCAGATAATTAAACTTATCTGATATACAGCCATACTTTGGATGTTCAGTACTATACCTCAACTAAACTTATCTGATAATTACAACCATACATTGGATATTCAGTACTAATACCTCAACTAAACTCATCATATCTTCAGCCATACATTGGATATTCAGTACTATACCTAGACTAAACTTATCATATCTACAGACATACATTGGATATTCAGTATTATACCTCGACTAAACTTATCATATCTACAGCCATACATTGGATATTCAGTACTATACCTCGACTAAACTTATCATATCTACAGCCATACATTGGATATTCAGTACTATATATATATACCTTAATTAATCCTATCTACAGCCATACCTAAGATGTTGATTACAATTTGGCTGTATAAGTACCATGACACTGTACCATCTATAGTAAAACGTATTAGTACCACATGATACTCAACCATCTACTAGTAAAACATGCCAGCTAGGAATGCTATACAGTGGCCTGTTTACTACCCAATAGCTGTTAACTTTACCAAGGACAGGAGCTCATCCATAACCTTACCTATATATAGCTCGGGTAGATCTCAGAGCAACAGTAAAACAAACAGTACAGTTTTCTCCTATTGATTTCAAAGTTCATAAAAAAATTAAAGCTCCCAGTATTGGTTAATTATTAGCATCATCCAGCGGCTCATGCAGCAACTTATACAAATAAAATAGGATTCAATCCAAGCGATTAACAGCACACCAATATATTATATATACAGATATAATGTGTAAATATAGTGATCATGGTGATTGTCAGTCAACCCTGGAGTAGTATTATCATAACAGCACAGTGGATATAATGACACAATAAGGCACAATACACTCAATGCTAGATCTGTATATCATATATATCAAATTTGACACAAGTCTACATTTATTTTGATGAAAAGGATGAGTGAATTTGACTATTTGTTTGGTACATCATTTGAATATCTATCATTAAATATTCTGTAGTTTAATAGACACTGTTATCTTTTCATAATCATTACACTATGTGTAAATAATTGTGTCCTCAAAGGGGTATGTTGTTTTATTTGCCTTCATGCAATAGCATGGATCTGATGCTGACTTTTGAGTGCTACTGCTACCTCGTTGAAATATCATGCCAAAGGCACGCAGCACAGTCCCAGTCACATTATACTGACAACGGGTAAACCAGTTATTGTGATTACCTCAAATGGTGAGGTTAAACCAGGTGCTGTGATTACCTCAAATGGTGAGGTGAAACCAGGTGCTGTGATTATCTCAAATGGTGAGGTTAAACAAGGTGCTGTGATTACCTCAAATTCTGAAGTTAAACCAGGTACTGTGATTACCTCAAATGGCGAGGTTAAACCAGGAGCTGTGATTACCTCAAATGCTGAAGTTAAACCAGGTACTGTGATTACCTCAAATGGGGAGGTTAAACCAGGTGCTGTGATCACCTCAAATGGTGAGGTTACACCAGGTGCTGTGATTACTTCAAATGGTGAGGTTAAACCGGGTGCTGTGATTACCTCAAATTCTGAAGTTAAACCAGGTACTGTCATTACCTCAAATGGTGAGGTTACACCAGGTGCTGTGATTACTTCAAATGGTGAGGTTAAACCAGGAGCTGTGATTACCTCAAATGGCGAGGTTAAACCAGGAGCTGTGATTACCTCAAATGGCGAGGTTAAACCAGGAGCTGTGATTACCTCAAATGCTGAAGTTAAACCAGGTACTGTGATTACGTCAAATGGTGAGGTTAAACCAGGAGCTGTGATTACCTCAAATGGAGAGGTTAAACCAGGAGCTGTGATTACCTCAAATGATGAGGTTAAACCAGGTGCTGTGGTTTCCTCAAATGCTGAAGTTAAACCAGGTACCGTGATTACCTCAAATGGTGAGGTTAAACCAGGTGCTGTGATTACTGTAAACACTGAACATTTATCAGGAAATAACATCTACCACTTTTAAAGACTTAGGTGCCAGGTATGTCCCAGTCTGGGCACAGAATCCATTCCCACTTCAGCAAAACATTGTTATGTCCCCAAGGTGGAAGCATGAAAGCAAATCCTTTACTCTACCAGGGGTTCCCGCATAAGTCACCTCTTACGATACTGGGCTAAGGTCAATCATTGGAACAAACTTGAAAAAAAATCATCCAAGCTACTGGCAAATCATCACCATAGGTCTTTTAGTTATTCCAAAGAAGTTGTTTTATCTGGCTAGACACTTTCACTAGTAATCATCAACCTTAGAATTATATATACATATTGAATTTAAAACATTCATGTATAATTCACATAGGGTTTGCATTAAATGCAATAACATTTTATTAAGCATAAAATTTCAAAAGCCCCCCTTTTCAATAATTCCATTTAAACTATGCAAAGGACCTTGTTCAATTTGAAAAGGCCCCCATTAATATTTCACACAGTGCTAATACTGTTTACACATCATACACTCTAAACATTCTGCAGGGTTTAATCATGATGAAAAATAATAAATCACTATCAAATAATGAATATCAGTAATTCTGAAAAGTTTTTTTTCATAATGTATTATATATGATATCTGGAATCGTTTAAATCATACTTAATATATATATGCAAAAGTACTAAAAGATATGAAGATGTCATCTTGTTTTTTCCTTGAATGCTACACCATCCCAAAACTTAACTTAACAGGCACTATATTGTATGACAGGGTCGTAGGTGCCTATTCACTGGTATAATACGCAGGTGAATCAAGCAAATTTTCGAACAGAAAAAGAAAAACATTGCTTGTTGTCCCCCTACTTAAATTAAGGCCCTGGACCTGCTCCTCACTGAATCCACTCCAAACAAGGGCTTAAGCTATGGTAGCAGTGTACAGTAGAAATGGCCCGACTCTGATAAACAAGGCACATGTCGCGGAAATGTAAACACAGCGGATTACACCTCTTTTTTCTATGTATGGCACTTGTGTGAAAACCATGGTTCCCACATCAAAAATTACCAAAAAATGCCAAAAATTGCTATTTTGACCCAAAATTTGACCCCCGCAACAATTTTTTTTTTCCTAAGTTCTGTCTGAAATGAAAGATTACCTACCTGGTTGCAGAATTATCTGGGTCCCAGTAAAGTTGTAAAATTTGATTTTTTGCAATTTTGCGTCGTGTGCTGTTGTCAAAATTTGACCTCCTGTAAAGCTAGCTTTTCATGTGTAGGCTTCCTTTCGGATTATGGCCAACATTTTATTCTCGCACCAAAAAAATCTTTTTTTTTTACAAATGTGAAGCTCACATAGGCCACTTCATCATGCTTATACCAATTTTAGAACAGTTTTAATTTTAATTTTTTTTTACATATCATTATACAGGGGTTAGCCAATTAACAAAAATATTACCCATGGCCACAACCTTCTACTGTATACTGCTACCTATGCCCCTGGATGAGCTTACAAAAGTTGCCTTTCCATTTGCATATTTCACATGCAAATTACTCTACTTTTTTAAATTTTGAGTTATTCACATGTTTGTTCCCTTAATTTAACAGTGCATAATTAACCCAGACATATTCAAAACATAAGTAAGCCGGCCCAGGAGTAATATTTCATAGAGGTAATTCTGTCGATGATTTTTATCTATTATGTTATAAACCCTGATTTATTATACCTGTTTTATCTATTATGTTATAAACCCTGATTTGTTATACCTGTTTTATCTATTATGTTATAAACCCTGATTTGTTATACCTGTTTTATCTCTTATGTTATAAATCCTGATTTATTATACCTGTTTTATCTATTATGTTATAAACCCTGATTTATTATACCTGTTTTATCTATTATGTTATAAACCCTGATTTGTTATACCTGTTTTATCTATTATGTTATAAACCCTGATTTGTTATCCCTGTTTTATCTATTATGTTATAAACCCTGATTTGTTCTACCTGTGTTATCTATTATGTTATAAACCCTGATTTATTATACCTGTTTTATCTATTATGTTATAAACCCTGATTTGTTATACCTGTTTTATCTATTATGTTATAAACCCTGATTTATTATACCTGTTTTATCTATTATGTTATAAACCCTGAGTTGCTGAAATATTAGTGTCTGAATTTTGAAACAAATGTCACTGCCAGTAATAAATTTCTGATTAGGCAGTTTCCTTGTCCTATTCTTTATTGCAACACACACTTTTTATGTTATAGGATTCAAAGTGACCCTCACAAAACATGTGAGTTGTTCAACACATTGGACAGATACACATACAGATACACTAGTGTACCAATATACAAAAACATGTGATACAACTGGGGGAATCGTGACCTTTTGATGGTTTAACAGTACCACACAGATAAAGTATACCTGTTCCATCATCCAACCAAAAGTAGTCTCGACCTGTTTATGATTATAGATGAAATATCAAAATGCATTATTTCATCATTTCAAATGTGCAGTGTTCTCATTAAAAGCGTGTTCCCAGCAAAAGTAGCCAGTGCTGTTCATCAACTTGGAACCAGCTATTTTTTCCCAGAATATTTATGGGTCAATATTTTAGCAGGTGAATATTCAACAATTAACACCTGTTTCAAAACTTGAGTGAGAACACTGAATGTGTCAATCTATACATTTTCAAAAATATCCTTCTTATACAAGTTTATAATATTTCTGAAAGGATATTAACAAAAAAATACATATATATATATATATATATATATGTTAAAAAACACAGAATGAAATGTACAGGATTAAGAAGTACCTATTTTTGATGGTTCCTTTTGTCTAGATGACGGTCTGGATCGCCTTTTTTTGCCATCAGGAGGTGTGATAGGAGGCAAAGGTGTCTTGGTTCGGCGTATGTCCACAAAGGCACTCCATGTGATGTTGTTGGAGCCCTTGTCCTGTACCTTGTGCAGACAGTCAATCAGGTATTTGATGTGGTCCGTCGGGCGATGGTACATCAAACCAGTCATCAACGACTACAAATCAAAGCTTGTGCTTTAAACTCATCCACACAGTATGGTGAATAAATAAGTCTAATGAAATTGTTTAGTATGACATCCCAAAACCTGTTTAACTAAACTTTATGACATTATGTTGGAATATAGGACACCAGCAGCACAATGAACAGAATGTTTCTACAAACTAATTGTCAATCATCCTAGTATTACAATCTGCCACTCCACCATAATTATCACTTTCAAGACTAAAGATAATGAAACATTTTGTAGTTTTAATACGAAACAGAATTAAAAGGCTGTGTGCATGTGTTACTAATAACATAGAGGAAGATTTATAATCATTGTAAAGTCAGGAGAGGGAGGACAGATCTATACAAATTATAGTGTTACAGCAAAGGGAGGACAGTTCTATACAAATTATAGTGTTACAGCAGAGGGAGGACAGATCTATACAAATTATAGTGTTACAGCAGAGGGAGGACAGTTCTATACAAATTATAGTGTTACAGTAGGGGGAGGACAGTTTTATACAAATGATAGTAACAGTAGGGGGAGGACAGTTCTATACAAATGATAAAAACAGCAGGGGGAGGACAGTTCTATACAAATGATAGTGACAGTAGGGGGAGGACAGTTCTATACAAATGATAGTAACAGCAGGGGGAAGACAGTTTTATACAAATGATAGTAACAGTAGGGGGAGGACAGCTCTATACAAATGATAGTAACAGTAAGGGGAGGACAGTTTTATACAAATGGTAGTAACAGTTCTATACAAATGATAGTAACAGTAGGGGGAGGACAGCTCTATACAAATGATAGTAACAGTAGGGGGAGTACAGTTCTATACAAATGATAGTAACAGCAGGGGGAAGACAGTTTTATACAAATGATAGTAACAGTAGGGGGAGGACAGCTCTATACAAATGATAGTAACAGTAGGGGGAGAACAGTTCTATACAAATGATAGTAACAGTAGGGGAAGGACAGTTCTATACAAATGATAGTAACAGTTCTATACAAATGATAGTAACAGTAGAGGGAGGACAGTTTTATATAAATTATGTTACCAGTAGAGGGAGGACAGTTCTATACAAATGATAGTAACAGTAAGGGGAGGACAGTTATATACAAATGATAGTAACAGCAGGGGGAAGACAGTTTTATACAAATGATAGTAACAGTAGGGGGAGGACAGTTCTATACAAATGATAGTAACAGTAAGGGGAGGACAGTTTTATACAAATGGTAGTAACAGTTCTATACAAATGATAGTAACAGTAGAGGGAGGACAGTTTTATACAAATGATAGTAACAGGTCTATACAAATGATAGTAACAGTAGAGGGAGGACAGTTTTATACAAATGATAGTAACAGGTCTATACAAATGATAGTAACAGTAGAGGGAGGACAGTTTTATACAAATGATAGTAACAGTAGGGGGAGTACAGTTCTATACAAATGATAGTAACAGTTCTATACAAATGATAGTAACAGTAGAGGGAGGACAGTTTTATATAAATTATGTTACCAGTAGAGGGAGGACAGTTCTATACAAATGATAGTAACAGTAGAGGGAGGACAGTTTTATATAAATTATGTTAACAGTAGAGGGAGGACAGTTCTATACAAATGATAGTAACACTTCTACACAAATGATAGAAACAGTAGGGGGCGGACAGTTCTATACAAATGATAGTAACAGTAGGGGGAGTACAGTTCTATACAAATGATAGTAACAGTTCTATACAAATGATAGTAACAGTAGGGGGAGAACAGTTCTATACAAATGATAGTAACAGTAGGGGGAGGACAGTTTTATATAAATGATAGTAACAGTAGGGGGAGGACAGTTCTATACAAATGATAGTGACAGTAGGGGGAGGACAGTTCTATACAAATGATAGTAACAGAAGGGGGAGGACAGTTTTATACAAATGATAGTAACAGGTCTATACAAATGATAGTAACAGTAGAGGGAGGACAGTTTTATATAAATTATGTTACCAGTAGAGGGAGGACAGTTCTATACAAATGATAGTAACACTTCTACACAAATGATAGAAACAGTAGGGGGCGGACAGTTCTATACAAATGATAGTAACAGTAAGGGGAGGACAGTTTTATACAAATGATAGTAACAGTTCTATACAAATGATAGTAACAGTAGAGGGAGGACAGTTTTATATAAATTATGTTAACAGTAGAGGGAGGACAGTTCTATACAAATGATAGTAACAGCAGGGGAGGCCAGTTCTATACAAATGATAGTAACAGCAAGGGGAGGCCAGTTCTATACAAATGATAGTTACAGCAGGGGAGGACAGTTCTATACACATGATAGTGTTACAGTAGGGCGACGACAGTTCTATACAAATGATAGTACCATTTCTATACAAATGATAGAAACAGTAGAGGGAGGACAGTTCTATTCAAATGATCGTTACAGCAGGGGGAGGACAGTTTTATACAAATGATAGTGTTACAGTAGAGGGGGGACAGTTCTATACACATGATAGTGTTACTGTTCAGTAGGGGGAGGACAGCTCTATACAAATGATAGTAACAGTAGGGGGAGGACAGTTTTATATAAATTATGTTAACAGTAGAGTGAGGACAGTTCTATACAAATGATAGTAACAGCAAGGGGAGGACAGTTCTATACAAATGATAGTAACAGTAAGGGGAGGACAGTTTTATACAAATGGTAGTAACAGTTCTATACAAATGATAGTAACAGTAGGGGGAGGACAGTTTTATATAAATTATGTTAACAGTAGAGTGAGGACAGTTCTATACAAATGATAGTAACAGCAAGGGGAGGCCAGTTCTATACAAATGATAGTTACAGCAGGGGAGGACAGTTCTATACACATGATAGTGTTACAGTAGGGCGACGACAGTTCTATACAAATGATAGTACCATTTCTATACAAATGATAGAAACAGTAGAGGGAGGACAGTTCTATTCAAATGATCGTTACAGCAGGGGGAGGACAGTTTTATACAAATGATAGTGTTACAGTAGAGGGGGGACAGTTCTATACACATGATAGTGTTACTGTTCAGTAGGGGGAGGACAGCTCTATACAAATGATAGTAACAGTAGGAGGAAGACAATTCTATACAAATGATAGTAACAGCAGGGGGAAGACAGTTCTATACAAATGATAGTAACAGCAGGGGGAGGACAGTTCTTTACAAATGAAAGGGTAGTATATTAAGCAGCTGTCTGACGTGCTAATACAAAAATGCAAATGGCTAGACAGGGATTAAACTTTGGATCTGTGAATTCTAGCTGGAAGCTCTGACAACTAAGTTGTGTAAGGAGGATGGGTGACTTTCCGAACACTGATAATAATTCCTATTCATCAACTGCTGATTTCATCAATCATACTGTACAATGTTCTGCAGTAATTGCCATTTAAATTTCGTATTTCTTAAATATATTCCTGTAAATGTCTTTATGTTAAGTAACAGGATTTAATCATCATTGTTATACCACATCAAAATGTCACGCTGACCCTTTCCTAAATGGGATTAAATATAATCTTCTTACAGACCTGCGTAAACGAGCTGCATTTCCATACAACAGCAAATCTCTCATTATTCAATTTTCGATATATATTAATAGAAAATTTTCTAAATATTCGATGCACAAATAGTAACATGCAGCGTTTATTTGAAGAGTACTGTCATTTACGATAACGGTCGCCATGTAGAGCATTGACATTGCGCTCCATGGAATCAAAAGAAAACAACATTTTATCAACAAAAAAACGAGGATAACATCTCACCTCAAAAAGTCGAGGGATCTCCCTCTTTGACAGATACGACTTCGCATCATCCGTAGTCATCTTGCCACTACGGACACGAATGTAGGAGTCCTTTTTTCGTGGTATCTTGTCGGTTGGTTTCTACGGGTTTATAAATTGAGTTATCGGAAATCACTTTCCAACGTAGACTCTCATGGGGCACCTGTACAGAACAGCCTGTATCCAAGGACAACAAATATTGGCGGACTAATCTTCTTCCGGTTTACCGCAGATAATGAAATAAAGTTCTTGCTTAATGTAAGCTATTTGCATGACAAAATGAATTGAATTACTTCTCTTTGATATTTGATATATTTAACAATGTCATACTTTTAAATATGACCAAAAATACATGGCATTGCGAAGAGTTAGAGAAATATGTGTGTTGGTTATATTTTTCAATACGCGGAGTGATATATACAATAATTAAAAATGGCAGCCCCCATAAAAGTTCCGGGGTGGTGTTGGCGTTTCCAATTTGCTATTATTTTGACGGTATTAGTAATTCAGTCTTATTCTGAATCGGTAAGATTATTTCCTTCTGTTACACTTTTGTATTATATCATTTTTAAACAGCATGCATGTTGATCCAATATCCATTGTAAGAATATCCTGTATGATTACCCACGAAACCAGTTTTGACGAATTAACGAATATTTGCCCAGATTCTGTAACAAAACTCTGTGGTGGAACATGATTCGGAAACTTCTTCTGCATACATATTGTATCCTCCATCAGAGATGTGAATGTTGCATACTGTGATAATTTACTGAGTAGTTTTATTTTCCTCTTGAAGTTGCATAAGCGGAAGACAGCTGACTTCCTCAAATCGGAGACCGTTTTTAGGCCTTTTTATCAAGAAATTTCACCACCCAAGTATCAAATCCATAATATTCAGAACCAATATGTCTTCTAGTTACGAATGACACGCTGTGTGTTTATCATATGGGGTGCATCAAGTGGATCTTCAGTTTTCCTCTTGAGCTCGATTGACTGACAACTTCCGGTGAATTTACAAATGTAAACAATGGAATTGAACATTTTACACCCAGAGGGCAGCAAGATTCGTAAAAAACAACTACAGTGATTACACTCCTGGAGCTGTTACCAGCGGGACACATAAACTCGACTGGGAGAGCTTGGCAACTAGATGTGTAAAGAGCCTACTGTCCATGATGTTTAAGATCACCCATAGTCTAGTTGACGTCCCACATGAACACCTAGTGGCAGGGGGCAGGGTGCCTGAGGTTCCAACAAATTTCAGGAATTTGCAGCATCCAAAGATGCATACACTCTTTTAACCCACGGACTATCAGACAATGGAACAACCTCCCTCTAGACATAACATCAGTGTCATCATTAGAGGGCTTCAAGGCCATGCTGGACAGGCTACCAGCTGGTCACGGGCATTCACCATCTAAGCCAGTGACTTTTTATTAAATTTTAAATGTAAATATACCGAGAGGTTTTTCACTGTCTACCAACATATGCCTTAGTTTATAATGTTCTGTATGGAACCCAACTCAGTAACGGAAGAAGAAAAACAAGCTAAGTCTTTGTAACAGGAAAAGAAGAATGCAACGGCCAGACCAGGGTTTGAACCCGGGACCCTCCAAACTATAGATGGACGCTCTAACCAATTGAACTACCTGGTTGCCTCCGATCGACCCAGTCCAGCTCCGCTACACTCCTCCCTCCTTTGGCAAAATCCTTGACCCCAAAGACACACGAGACTCTATACTACCTTCCATGGGTATATTTCGTTGGGCGCCAAATTTGTGTTTCCACCCTTTTGATTTGAAGCTTGCCGGAGCATCACAAATTTTCATTTCCTTACCGCGGCCCGCCATTTTGTTGTGAATATTTTGTGAAAATTGTATCCTCACCGCCAATTGGATGAGGGTTTAGAGATCAGGCGATGAAATTGAACGTCTCACATACGTTTCGGCTGGGGTGGCATACACTAATATTCAGATCGTGACGTATCGAAAATCCGGAAAAATATATCGACAATCGAATCAAACATAAATAATCTCGGTACAAGTGCATCACAGTGAATCGTGATGCCTCTACACGAAACCCTCCAAACTCTAGACAGATGCTCTAGCCAATTGATTTACCTGGTCACCAGCGAGCGACCCAGTCCAGGTCCGCTACATCTTAATGATTTAACCTTGTCACATCAGACCTAACCTGGTCACATCTAGTCCTCATCAACAGATCTTAGAGATCAAACATGATCACATCTAGTCCTAGAGATCAAACCTGATCACATCTAGTCCTCATCAACAAATCTAAAAGACCTTACCTGGTCACATCTAGTCCTCATCAACTGATCTTAGAGACCTAACCTGGTCACATCTAGCCCTCATCAACTGAACTTAGAGACCTAGCCTGGTCCCATCTAGTCCTCATCAACTGATCTTAGAGACCTAACCTGGTCACATCTAGTCCTCATCAACTGATCTTAGAGACCTAACCTGGTCACATCTAGTCCT